ACGGCTGAGCTGTATGTACATACCGTGTGCAAAGTGTATATGAAGTTATTTATTCGTGACCCATGAGCCCGTGACCGTGTCTGTGAATCAGTGAGTCTGTGGCCTGTACCCTCCCCTCCCAGGTGGGGCGGGAAGGTTTGCGGGGGACCCTGACCACCCACCCCAACCCCACCTCCAGCCCTGGCCACCCAGGCCCCTCGGGTTCTTTCTCTTTTTTTAAGTGTCGAAATAAACTTCTTACAAATGACCAGGCGCCTGTTGGCACTCGCGTCTGTTGGTCTGCGCTCAGCCCTCGCTTTCTCCACCCTCTTTAAGCCATCTTCCTCTCCCGGGACTTTCTCTTTCGAGCTTCAATAATGAAATATTTTTGTCCCTTCTCTCGCTTGGTGCTGTGGTCGTGTGGAGGGGCCCCGATTGGACACGCTGGACCTTGGGCAGGGTATTCCCTTCCCGGCCTCAGTCTTCCGGTCTCTACAATGAGCCGAGCCCGATGTTCGGCTTCCATGCTTCCTCTTCATCTGGACCTCTTCCCGCTCACAGTCGGTTCGGGAGCCGGCGGCTGGGGAGGGGTGGGAGTCCATGCTCAGGCCTCACTCTGCTGAGGTCCATACTATGGTGCCCATGAGGACCCGATTCATCTGGCTGCGACAAGGGCGCCGGCAGCTGGTGACCGGTCCTCCGGGCGCGGGGCCGACAGATGGGCTCCGAGGCTGCTTGCTCCCCCCGCCCCAGTCGGGCTTGGGCTCCGGACGCTCCCGGGAACCGAGGCGCCTTCGCTGCGATACGGCCGCCACCACTTCGGGTAACCCCCAACTCCTGTTCCCTAGGAATAAGTTGGGAATGACACCCAGCGAGCAGCCAAATCCCAAGGTCTCTCTTTCCCCACCTTTTCCCTCCCTGTAGCTTTAGGGTCTCTGGGGAGGGGATTTTAGTCTCGAGCCAGATTCTAGGCCTCCAGTTCACATTCAAAGGGCCAAGGTCGCCTCCTGGGGCCGTTCCCTCTTTGAGAAGGGCGCAGGTGCTCCCCTCCTACACACCACCTGCAGCCCACTGACCCCCCCAAGACGGGAGAACGCCTAGGGCTGCAAATTTGGGGCCACAGTCGAGCTCCCTTGGTTTGTAGTAGAGCTGTTCTAGGAAGGGGCAGTTTTTTGGAAGTTGGGTGGGACACTTTCAGACTAACCCCCTTGGTGAAAACCAGCTCATTGCCAGCTATGCTACTGTTTCTTCCCTGCCCCCCAACACATTCACACATTGCTTTCCTGGGATGGTGAGGGTATTATTCTAATTTTGCAAAATGCACAGCAGCTAATGAAGTCAAGGAGCCCCTCGGCTTTTGAGTTCTTTTGCATGTGAATGGGCGTTGGTAAATCCCCAACTCGGGCTGCGGTGGGGGGTGAAGGGGGATTGTCCCCAACTCAGGGTTAATGAAGTGGGAAAGGAGTCTCTCATAGTCTCCTGCAAACAAAACCCCCTAGGCAACAAACCCTGCCCAAATCCTACATGGATTGACTTAAACCCAGGGGATAAGTGCTTTAAATTAATCTCATTGAATAAGAATGAGACCAAACAAAACTCTTTAAAATCATATTAAAAATCTATCAAAGGACAACTTGCACTGGTGTGCTTTTCATTTTGTGAAAGTGAAGGAGGTAGACGCGAGCAACCATCCTTACATTTACACAGCAGCAGTGTAAATCACAGGCACATTCTCAACTATGTAATTGTCCTTGTACCTCAGAGGCGATTTCATATCTTACATTAATGAAGAACAAGGCTCGCCTACAAGTTTATAATTACAATATTTTAAATTGTCCTGCAGTTCCCCATCTGTAATAATAACTTTACAACCTTTGCAGTAAGGTGGGCTTTTACTTTTATCCAGTTAGGAGGCTAAATTGGTTTCTTTCTTTTCCAACCGTGGGGCTGGTTGACACTCATCTTAAAAAAAAAAAAAAAGTGATCCCCCAAACAAGTAGGAGAGGTGTGTGGAGTTGGACTTGCTCTCTCCCTTACAAATTTCAACTCACCAGGGTGTGGACAACAAAGTTTAAAAGAAGTTTAGCTTCCCTCCCTTCTCAGCAGTTGCAAGGGAATTTCTGAGAAGTTGTACTGACTTTCAGGGTGCCTCACTTTCTCCATATTGGCAGACCTTGTTCTGTTTTTTTGTTTTTTTTTCTGGTGGTGTAGCCAGATTGAAAGATAAGGGGTTAGTTAGTGCTCATAGAGACAATTTAACAAGACCAGTTAGTTTAGTATCCTTTTCAAGCAGGCAACTTCTATGAAATGGTGTATAGTTCTGGCTAGGATGCAAATGTTGGATTTTAATGGTGGCTACTGATTTTAAGTGGCTAAAGCATAGTGGTTACGAATCGGGCTGTGAACCGCAAGGTCAGCAGTTTGAAACTACCAGCGGTTCTGCGGGAGAAAGATGAGGCATTCTGCTCCCGTAAAGATTTACAGCCTTGGAAACCCTGTGCTGGGTGGCTGAGTTGGAACCGACTCCACGGCATTTAACAACAAAGTGCTAAACAGTGAGTCCATTAGCAGTCTGGAATACACCTGCCTTAAGAGGCTCTTGTTTACTCCCTTTTGTCCCTCACCTCCTTTCACTGTGGGGCAGGGGACAGGATCAAAGAAATCCACTGAGCTTTGTCAAAAATAGGTCCTTTGCTGAGCTTTGGTGGCTCTGCTGCTTCTATAGGAGCTGGAGATACCCTGTGCATTGCATCAGCCCTGACTTAATTGGATCACACACAGGCTCTTTGGCCTTTCACACATGAGAATGAGGAGCCCCTTTAGACCAAGTACAACCATTGAGGGTTGCAAACATGGAAGATGTTTTGGACTTTAAAAAAAAAGGCATTAAAACCCATCTTGGGGTGGAGGGTGCAAATGTCTATTAAACGCCCAAATTCTATGATTTTAGGTATGAGGATCAAGTGTATGGCACAGAGAAATGGCTAAGTTTGAGAAATTAGAGAAAGAGGCACACAAAATTAGAATATGTACAGTGGAATTAGGCTAAAGCTTTGCCTAATTGATCCCTGAAATGTACAATCTGTCAAGAGCTAAGGCTAAGGCAGATTTATTTTAAGGTTACTTAAATATAGATAATATTAACCCTAAATCTGGTAAAATCCATGTTTCTTTATTAGCTGGGTTAATATATTGATTCTACTTAGAAACAGGCCCACATAGCATCTACGGTAAGAAACCTTCACCTGAGCATTATTACCAAATTAAAGGTAAATTCTGATCTTGGAATTATAGTCACTTATACTTTGCCAGATTCCAGCATTTCTACCTCCAGAAATGCAGAATTTTGTCTTTAATGGAATGAGCACTCTGGGGGAAAAAAATGGAGGTTTTTCTTTGATCATTCCAAATCACTGGCATTAATCCTGTTTCCCACACAGCTGGGTTTTGTCTATAAGTTTGATCCGTCCTTTCAGTACACATCAAAATAAAGTAAGGTGGCAGATTTGCCCAATGTCAGTTTGACATATGCTGTAGGGCTGTTTTATTTTCATTGTTATAAATTTCACCAACTGTCCCTATTAATTCATATGTGACATCCAACTCTAAGGAGGTCATATTTTCCTCATGCAGAAAATTCTTACTGGGTGTATACAGCTGCCCTTATCCCTCAAATGTGCATTTTAGTGGACAATTGCCTCAAGTCGTCCAGGCTGTGTCTGTGACCAGGGAGGGAATGGAGGCAAGGATACACATTCCTCTTGTCTCATCACAGGAAGGCCTGCCAAGTCAATCGCCCCTTCTTCTCCTGGTCATCTGGTTCAGCTGGAGCTGAAGTTTCTACTGAAGTGCTGCCTCACCATGCTGTCACAGGAATGCAAGGGTGACAGAGGAAGAGGAAGAAGAACAAGAGCAGAGGGGCTGAGGCTTTTTACCCTGTCTCTTTTGGATGCCTTGGGGTTGCCCGTGTCCAAATCTTACATTTATTGGAAAATCAATACACCCCAGGGGTCCTCTTTCAAACCTCCTAGGAAACACAATAGGGAGGGGGGCAGTTGTGACCCTGGGCACAATACAAAAAAACCCCAGACCTTTCTAGATGAGATTTGATGGGAAAAACAAAAACCAACAAAAACTCAGGACATTGGTGCCTTTTAACTTCAAAGGCAAATAATAAAAAGGCAACAGTAAATCAATTAGCCCCGAGAGAATACATTTTCAGTGGGCATGAAAGGAGCAATGCATGGAAACGAGACATGATGTTTATAGCAAGGCACTTAAGGAAAATAAAAACACTTTAGGAGTTGACATGTCTCAAAAATTCTTTTAGTCCTTTTCTTAAGAAAGCATTTCTATGTAAAGAAAATGATTATTTGAGAAATAAGCTTTTTCTCTTTTCATAAGAACTCAATTGCATTTTTTAAAAACCTTACTTTACAAAATTCATGTCAATTATATGCACTGATGGCTCTATCACAAAACCATGAAGCTTCTTTGGGATACTGTTACAGGGTAGGAATAAAAGTCATTACAGGACACTGCAGAGCACGTTAGACTTTTACACAAGTTGTGAAGGCACACGTTCAGGGACGGCACCCAGTGAAGAAAAGGCCTGGCACTGATGGACTAAGTATAAGTTACGGTGTAGGAGATCTGGTGTAAGATAGAACTTCACTGGCTAATTCATACTGTGCTGATCCCCCACCTGCACTCGTCTCTATCAGGATCACGCCTTCCCAACCAAGGGCTGTGGCTTCCACAACAGTCTGAGGGACACAGTGTTCAGTGAGAGTTGTGTTTCACTGACACGAGCAGGACACAAATCCAATGCCACACAGGTCTCCAGGAGACAATCTGATGCCCAGTCCCATAGTGACAGAGTGTAAAAAACGTTCTGGTAAGTCTTGCTCTCCCCTCAGTGAACTCCTTTTGAGTTATTCCAATGTTCTGTGGGAAAAAGTTATTTTATTTTTTTCCCACAACAACAGCTGGGTGCAGGCTGCAGTTCAGCTCTGCCGAGGCTAGCTGCCGGGCTCTCCATGTTTGTTTTGCTTTTTGACCTTGGCGACGCCAGCCTCTACCCCACTTGAGTATTCCGAACGCAAGATTTCAGCAAGGCGGTGTTTCCTCTGGGTCTTCCTACGAAGGTCAGGCCTGAAGAACAGTAACAGCAGAGGGGAAAAGAAACTTTATTATTTTTCTGCTTTTCCATTTGGAAAGCGGCTGATAGCGGCTGGTTCCAAGACTGTTGAAACTGACATTTTTGTATTAACAGAAGTACAATTCCTTCAGTAGTGCCTATTTTGATATTCTATGCTCCAGAAGATTAGATACAGTACTGACAGATTTTCAGAACACTGGAAAAATAGCATGGCATTTTAAAAAGTGATGCTTTGTTCTATGTTGTTTCATGGGGGGGTGGGGGGGAAGAACTATACACACTCATACTCTGATGGCAAATGAGGTATATGATACATATTTGCCAAAGGATGAGGAAAAACAGAACAAAACAACAAACAGCTCTAAAACGCCACGACATTCAACAATGAAAACATGTAGGCAATTGCTGGTCCCAGGCCTCAGTCCCCAGGAACAGAGAGGATGCCTGGTTGGGTTCAAACGGCCAAATAGCCACTGGTAGGCGCATTCACCAGAGAGATTTCTTCATCATCTAAAGAGGCTCTAAAAAACAATTCTGACCCTGCAAAACCCAAACCCAGAATTTTCTATGTCCACACTCAGACTAGAACTGAAACTTTACTCAACACGCACAGACCTGTGTGTGTGAGGGGGGTCTCTTCCGACAGTAATCACACGGAGAATGCCAAAGGATGGAAATAAATTTCAGCTGCTGAATCACAGTAACTATTTTAAAAAAGACAGTAGCCTTACCATTTGATCAGAAGATCAGAGGAAGAAATCTGTAGAAGTTCAGTCATCCAAAGGAAAAATGATTATGAAAATTGAAGAGTAAAATACAGCTGCTCAAGACAAGATTTTACGCCAAACAACACTAAAACAACTACCACCAAATCCATTCAACACTAAAAATAGCAATGGCTTATAGTTTGTACATAGGCAAATGTCAGCCTCTACTACTTATTCACTACATTTTTTTTTTTCTGTAACATTCTGGAAAACAAATGGGGCCAGGCTTGTAAGTACACATAAATACAACGGAACTCCTTTAAAACCCAAGAATTAGAAATCAGACTAATAAGAACTATGCTAATAAACTGAAAATGAAAGGTTGCATCATCCTGTTACAGCATCATGACGATGTTAAAGTAAAATTATCTATTTATAATTACACTCCGGAGGATAGGGTTCAGGTAATAGTGCAGCTAAGTCCATGCTACACACAGTTTTCTATAGTAACATGTAGAAAGAAGCACAAAGTCAACCTTTGTTGTAGACACATACACACAAAAAGACAATTTGAGGCAAAGGGATAAAAAGGATATACTACTTAAGGACTGGGAGTTTATAAGGTACACGGGAGTCCTGGTGTGGTGCTGTGGGTTAATGTGTCAGACTGCAAAGCCACTGAACTGCAGGGTTGGTGGCTCAAGCTCACCATGTGCTCCTCGGAAACCCTTACAGGGTCCCGATGGGTAGGAATCAATTCGATGGCACTTTACAACAACAACAACAACAAGAAGTCAGGGCCAGGGTTTAGTGAGAAGATGCAGAAAAGGGAGTACTTTTGTAATCCTGTGCAAAATGATTATATATATTATCTCATAGACTTTGTATTTAATGAGGTATTATTATTCTCATTTTACAGGCAAGGAAACTAGGTCTCAGGGAGCGTAAGTAACTTGTCCAAGACCTGGAGCTAATAAGTCAAGATGCAAACCTGGGTCAGGCTGACTCCCAAGCCTATACTCTTCCCACCAGGGTTCCTGTCAAGGGAGAGAGAATGATTCACAGTATCAGGTGCATCAAGAAGTTCCAGCAGGATATCAAGTGATCAGAAATGGAGGAGGCCTTTGTGGTTTCATAAGGATTCAATTAGGGAGGGAAGAGTAAAGCTAAAGGGTGAAGAAGAACCCAGCTGTCACTCATGACAGTGGACAAGAAACACAGGCTCTCTCTCTGTGCCTCACTTTCTATATCTGAAAAATGAGATCCTTACAGTAAAGCTTGTAAGGTTTTACAAAATTACATGGAATAGGACATATAAAGTGCTTGCCAGCATGCAGGTTGCATCAATCAGTCAAAAATGAGGAAACTGAGGTCCAAAAATGCCAAGCAACTTCCATAAGGCCACACAAAAACCAAGGCTGACTCTGGGGCCCCTGACAGCTAGCTAGGATGGCATTCAGCATCCCCTAAAAGCATGATGCTCCTTGTTCCTGGGAGCTGCCCTGCATGACCTGTAGGAAGTGGCCAGAACACAGAGGGTTGATGTGTGTGGTTTGGAAGCAGCAGGAGGTGGGCCCTGCAGTTGAGAGCACTAAACTTGTTCCATATTGATGGCTGCCAGTTCTCTGTGCTTGTAGTTTATTTTTAGTTGGGTTTCATGACAGAGTGAAAAGGTTCTGACAGGAAGAAATGCTTTCTTTTCCCTCTTGTTAGAAGCCAGATATTCACAATGTGTATAATTTTAAATGTAACAACCCAAGTTTCAAAATATGCAAAATTTTATTCAAAATATTCTCCCTAGCATAAGCTCTAGCACTTCAATGATTGCTCCTGCCACTGCTAAAACAAAATAAATAACTAGAATCTTATCTTGGTGATTGATACACTAAATGCCGACAGATAGCATAAGCTGCGGAGCCATCGTTCTTCCATCCAAAGGTTCTATTCTTGAGAACACAGCGTTTCTGTGTTCTCAAGACTAGAGGCCACCATACAGAGGGTGAAGAGATGGGCAAGAAAGATGACATTCATGTACCCGATATATGGGCACAGAAACAACCCATGAGTCTTCTCCTAATTACCCAAGATGCGTCCCTTCACAGAGAAATATGGCTAGATCTGGGGTTGCAGAAGGTAATCCACAGTGGGTTTCATTGTGCAGCTAAATAGGACTACATACTTACTACGGTTCTTTGGAGTCCACAGTGCCATAGGGGATACCACTAGAGAGCAGGTCTTGCCTTAAGGTTATGATGTCAACGTTTCCTAGGCATTCTACCATTTCATTCTAGTCAGTGTATTTTCAACTCTGGACTCATATTCCAGTAACTAGTCCACTGACTGAGAGGATCTCTATTCTTACATTTTTCAGACCTATTCCTCAAAGAGCTCTGGTAGTGTAGTGGTTACGAGTTGAACTATCAGCTGCTCTGTGGGAGAATGATGAGGCTTTCTGCTCCCATAAAGATTTACAGCCTCGAAAACCCTATACAGGGCCACTATGAGTGGAACCAATGCTACAGCACATAACCACCACCACCATTCCTTAGGAGAGAGAGAGAACCTCAGGGCCAACTTATGTGGGAGTTGTCATAGCAGCCACCCTACTTTTCCCTTGGTCAGCTCAGTGTCTCTTTTTTCTTTGTTCTGAGGCCCAGGCAGAGTACAGCTGTGAGATGAAATGTTCTAAACCTAAACTTGTGATCCCTACCTTCAGTTTTCCTAGAAACTTGCCAACTTTCTTGCCCTCCAAATACCCAAACCCATCTCACACTGACTTCCTGAGCATTCACAGCAATAATCCTGTAGTTACCCAGCAACAGATCAGTTTATCTAACCATAGGGAGCTCCCTTGTGGTGAAGGGTGAATAAGTCCACCCTCAGTTATCAGGCTGGATTACTCAGCAGGATAGGCAGATGCCACTTTTACTGTAAATAAGGTGAAATCACAACCTAATTAGTAAATCGATATACCTACTATGATGACCACTAGAAAAGAGCTCTCAGGACCCACTCCTACTTTACCAACAAGTTCATAGGAGTATCCTAGAGGTAAAAGCCATTCCAACATAGATTTTTGTCAATGGTTTTTGTTTTTCTTAAAAAAATAGGACAGAATTTTACATTTTATTACATGTATGTATTGTGAGGCAATGGTTAACTGCTCAACTGCTAACTAAAACACTGCTGGGTCAAACTGACCCAGAGGTTCCATGAGATTTTGAAAAACCTGGCCATTTGTTCCTGTCAAGATGCTTGTTGTTTGCCATCGAATTGGTTCTGATTCATAGTGACACTGTATAGGGTTTTCTGAGATCAGCTGGTGGGTTTGAACTACCTACCTCTAGAAAATCCTATGAGGCATTCTACTTTGCCACATGGAATCACTATGAATTGAAATCGACTTGACACCTAACAATAACAAACTGCTAAGTCTACCAATATTACTGTTTATATTTTATGGCTTAAAGACCATGCTTAGAAAACTCTGCCTAATATAAGAGTATATTTTTGGTAGTGTGTTATTGCTTTAATGCTTAATTCCATCTAAATCTTATTGTGGTTTATGGTATGGTGTGGGGCATCTATTTCTGCCCAAGAATTATCCAGTTATCCATGACAATCACTGAACCAGAAATCTTTTCCCTTGAAATACCTCTTTAAAACACTTACTACAGGCTTTTGGATGATCTCTTGTAGGTTATATTAAAGAGTAGGTAATACCCACCCCCTCCATACACAGAGTACATAGGGATGGGCAACTTGGACACTGGCTACCCAAAATGGGGTGGGGTGGGGGGGACCTACAAAAGCAAGAAGTGACTGGCTTCAAGCTTTCAAGAGGGAGTCTAGATCCAGAGGGAGCAAAGAAGGTTGAATCTCCACTGAGCAGTATCCAATCTGTCTATGTGGGGCTGATGAACGGAGATACGGATAGGTCTCTTGTGATACAACAGTGAATAATTGTTACCAGGACTGACTGTGAGGGTTGGAAATGTAAATGTAGACGTTTTGTAGAAAAAGGAGGGGAGTGACTGACTTGCAGTCTAGGAGCTGAGGTTCCTAGGACCATCAAGGGAGAAGAGCAGAGAGTGGGACCCTACCCAGAGAAGCAGTGACACCAGAGATGGAGGCAGAGATGATGACGTGGAGAGATGGAGTGGCTGGGGACTCTAGACCCAGAGAGGGAGAAGGGCTGTGTATTGATGACTGGGAGGGTGGGGGGAGGAGGGCAGGCTTGCAGGGTATACCCTTTGGTTGGTTGATGATGCATGGAGGGGACTGTA